CTCTCTCTCTCTCTCTCTCTCTCTCTCTCTCTCTCTCTCTCTCTCTCTCTCTCTCTCTCTCTCTCTCTCTCCAACGCTACTCTAGCTCCTACTAGCGCCCAGCGCTGAAGACTACTGCTAACGCTACTACAACTCTTGCAGCGCTCCTCCAGAGTCCTGAAGACGGCCTCCTGCCTCCTGCACGTGAAGTGCATGGGAAGTTCCTATGAACTACGTCTTGACTGCCTCCTGCAGCCAGCAGGGCGGCCCAGTCTTATATAGTGCTGGCCCTTCCAGGAGGCTGCTCTTGCCAATGCCAAAACGGGCCAGACCCTGCTGTTGAAGTCCAAACAAAGGTTGTCTTGAAAACAGGCCAAAAATGGCCTGTGCTAAAAACCCTGGTCTGGTGCCCAAGGTTCAGGGCAGGTCGACTTTACGAGGGCCTGAAAATGGCCCTCGTTTTCAGGCTTTTAGGCTGAAACGACACAGGGCTTGTAGAACCCTCGTTTTCAGCCCTCGTTTTCAGGCTTTCAGGCTGAAACGACACAGGGCCTGTAGGCCCTTGTTTTCAGGCTTTCAGGCTGAAAACGACACAGGGCTTGTAGGCCCTTGTTTTCAGGCTTTCAGGCTGAAAACGACACAGGGCCTGTAGGCCCTTGTTTTCAGGCTTTCAGGCTGAAAACGACACAGGGCCTGTAGGGCCCTTACTTTTCCTTGTTTGGTCGGGCCTTGCAGGCCCGTGTGGATCCGCAGTATGCCAGACCCCCCCCTCCTTGAAAGACCGAGCTTACCTACGAGGGTAAGCTGCCTGTCGGAGGGAGGGACCAAAGTCCGGGTGGGAGAGGCAGGTTTGCGAAGCTTCCTGAGCTAGTCTTCGTCGCTCGTAGTCGGCGTAGATCAGCGGTGCAGATGCTTGCAAATCTGTGAACTTGGTGTCCAAAATGTCGAAGGACACGGCCTAGCTTGCATGCGGGGCAAAGTACACGGGGACAGGGTCAATGCACCGGTCAATTGACTTGTGCGTATGACTGTCAGCCAACGTGACTTGCGTGGGCTGCGACTTCCTCCGAACGTGTGACCCTAGGCCAGTGCGTACCAAAAAATCTTGGCCCATATAGTTGCGAATGCTTCCGCAATCGATCAACGCGTTGCAGGTCGCCTCTCTGATCTGAATGCGTATGTACAACAATGGCGCGTTGACGTCGTCGTACCGTTGTGTCTTGAACTCGCGGTCGATCTTCGCAACGTAGTCGTGAAGGTCAACAACCCCTACTCCGGCGTCCATCAACGGAGCTAGTACTCCAGTGTGCAAGTAATCCCGCAATT